TTCTTTTATATGGCTGAGTAATATTCCATTGTATATACATACCACATCTTCTTTATCCATTCCTCTATTGATGGACATTTAGGTTGCTTCCGTGTCCTGGCTATTGTAAATAGTTCTGCTGCCTGTTTTTAAAATTAGGGGAGGCAGAAGGGAAATAGTCCCTTGGGATGAAGTGATGGAAGTTGTTGAGACCAAATAACCAAATATCGGGGTATTGTTGCAAAGAAGATATGGATGTTGCATCAATAATAAAGGTGTTTGGTGAGCATGGAATCATGGTATGATGGGTTAGTTGGTTGATCTTGAGAGTGATGTGATAGATCTGTCTCCGCTTAAATTTATGGTGAATCAAAACAGGGTTCTCTTTCATGGGCCATATACAGTATGCGTGTGTGCTCTGTCGTCTCAGTCTGATTCTTTGTGACCTCATGGACTGTAGCCTGCCAGGCTCCTCTGTCCTTGGAATTTTCCCGCCAAGAATACTGGAATGGATTGCCATTTCCTTTTCCGGGGGATCTTCCTGACTCAGAGATCGAACCTGTGTCTGTTATGTCTCCTGCATGGTAGCCGGGTTCTTTACCACTAACGTCACCTGGGAAGCTCTAACATATAGTATATTCACCCTGAATAGTGCTGGAGAGCGAGATGCCCACATTTTCTCCTGGAATCTTCTATCACGATTTCTGTGGTCAGCATCCTTCCTCTAGTCCATTTCTTCAGAAAGAGTATATACTGATTGTAATGACAGAGGTGTATGTTTTATTAACATAATCATGATTTCGTTCTGCCTTCTTGTTACATCCAAACTACCTTGATTTGATTTTGGCTGTCCTGAGGCAATGGCTTCATGGTTGATCTTAGACAAGCCACTTAGCTTCAGATTCTTCTCATTTACTTTCCAAAGGGTAAGCTTCACTTTAATGTGAAGTTTGTAACAGATTCTGTCCCAGAAGAAACCACTTTGATTTCTCATCATCATTTTAATGAGCACTCTAATGATAGACTAACTATAAAAAGCATGGCATCTGGACCTAGCTGTGTTCTATGATTTATAAGCATTTATCTTTTTAAAATATTCTCATGAGTGTATTGTCTCCAGTTACTGATGAGGAAGCAGAGGCACAGAGAAATTGAGTCACTTTTCCAGGTTCATACTGTTTTAATAGCAAATCTAGATTGAACTTCAGCTGATAATTCCAAAGCTAGTGCTTTTAACTCTTTATTGTTTCCTTTATTCATTCATCCACTTATTTATTATATATTTTAACTCTATTCCCTGTTGCTCCCTGTACTATCCCCTAGGAGGAAGGCATTCAGTATAGTAGTTATATAATACTGCTACTAATGATGATGATAAATATAGTTTCAGCTCCTTCTGTATGCCAGGTACTTTACATACATTTTATGGATCGTTACTGCATTCCTAGGATGTAGATAACATTTTTTTTTTCTTGTGACAGGAACCTAGCAACTTTCAAATATGCAGTATAATATTATTGACTGTAGTCACCCTCTCCATGGCTTATTTATCTTACAGCTGGAAGTTTGTGTCTCTTGACCCCCTTCATCCATTTCACCCACCCCCTAAACCCCCTTTGGCAACCACTTTGTATCTATGAGCATTTGTTCTCTTTATCTGTGAGTTTTGCTTTGTAGAGTCCCCAAAGAAGTGAAATCATACAGTGTTTCTTTCTCTTTTGACTTGTTTCACTAATACTCTCAAGATCCATTCATGCTATCACAGATGGAAAGATTTTATTCTTTATTTTATGGTTGAGTGGATTCCATATGTAAATGCCACTGTAGTTATCACTTCTTAAATTTTGCAGAGGAGATAATCAGTGTTGAAGCGATGGAATCACTTCACAAAGTCTTATGGTGGGTATTTGAATTATTTGCCTTCAAAACGAAAGCTCAGAGGCACTGATAGATGGAAGTGTGTGGTACCTCTGGAGGATATAGCAAGTTGCCCAGTATAGCTCAAGCCTAAAGTGCATGATTAGCTGAAGCTGTTGAAAGGATCAGGGAGATTAAAGTGGGGAAGATGAATTTCTGAGTATTTTTTAAAGGATGAGTTCTTAAATATAAGATAGGAGATTGAAAATTCAGAGTGGTAGAGAAAAGACAGATTCTTGAGTGGGGGCAAAAGAGAATAAAAGTTGCTGTTTTCTGAAAGAATGAAATCATATAGCAAAGGAAAAAGTGTGGTGGAGATAGAAAAATCCTACCATTATTTAGAGGAAAACAGGTTATTCATAGATTTTTTCTTTTCAGATAGGTAGTGTAGAGAAGATCCTTATTGTCAGACATAACAGCACCTTAAAATGATCAAACTTTAAAAATCCAGTCTGTTGTGTTTTTAAATTCAGAGCTTTGGTAAGGTTCTTTATTATGTCACTTATGACATATTTATAAATGTCATGGCACTAGTAAGGATATGTAAAGCTTTGGTGGCCACAGGATTATTATCTTGTCTTTTTTAATCTTCTGGTGGGTGTATGCTTGGCATGCCCAGAGCCAGAAGTGGTCTCTGTTTATTTGGCTTTCATTCAGAAACTATTTTCTATCACAGTAAGTCACCAGTCTCTGTAGCATCAGGTGGCTGGTGATGGCAAGTTGATACAGTACCTGATAAGATCACGAATATTCTGGTAGTTACTTTATGAACTGGCTCTTCTCTGTAACAATGAGCCTTTAAAAAAAAAATGGATTCATCAGGAAACAGGAGTCTTTATTCTTTAGTCTATGGATGAGTATATTTGAACAATGGCAAAAAGCAACGGGCTTGAGGCCTAAAAGGTTAAGTACCCCTTTCTTTTCCTTCCTATTCTTTTTGCATATTTTTAATGGCCTCTCAATGACAATTAAATATGCCTCTTGGGAGTGAAAACTACTTGATTAAGCCAAATATGGAGAGTAGCTCGGGTGGGTCTTAGGGGTACAAAGGTAGCAGTAGTTAGGCAGAGTCAAGCTTTCATGAATTTTGCAGTCCAGTCTACAGAATCAAGGACCTCAGATTTGGCAAAGACTTAGGAGTCACCTGGGCTAACGTCTCACACTGTAAATTTCTTCTTCACCATCTTTCCCGGGCAGCCAGGTGAGTGTGGACCTTCCACTTGAGATCTGCCAGTGAGTTCTCTAGCCTAGAAGCATTATCACTCTGGGAATACAAGGACTGTAGGGGTTTTGCTTCCCGTTGTGTCTACAGAGTGTGGCAGTGCCTCCATGGCTGTCCTGTGTTGTCAAGTAGCCCTTATTATTGGGATGTGCCACTTAACTGCCAGTGTTTTCAGCCTTGGAATAAAAAATATCTAACATGAAATCCCACTTTGGCAACTTGGGCAGTTTCCTTATATCTCTGATTTCAGTTTTTGCATGTGAAACTGGGGAGTTTGTGCGTTGTCTTCTGAGATCTACTTGTAGAATTATCTAAAGGGATTAATTAGAATGTCTATAAAGACTCACATGTAGTAGGTGCTTTGTAAGACCTATTCCTCTTGGGCATAGCTCTGGTCTTTTTCTGGTCATGTGATATTTGATACTAAGTTCAGATCCCAATGGTAGTCTGTCAAGTACAGAGTGAAATAGAACTATTGCTTTGTATGTACAGGGCATTATATGAGTTCTTTTTAAAGCAGTAAGATAAGGATGTGGGTAAGTGAGCAGGAAACTGCACCAGCACTGGTGTCCCTGGCTCCCTGAATCTGTGGCAGTGTAATGATTATGAAGAGCAATACTGTTAGGTTTCTTGGAGGCGTGAAGAGAAGAGGGAAATTCAGGCTTATATCAGAATTTATTAGCATCAACTAAGACTTCTCATCTGAAAGAAGAAGTGGAAAAGTGAAAACTTCAATCACACTATTGTTTGTTCTACATTAGAACAGTCAGTTGAAGTGATTCCCTTTGGACTCAACTGGGTTTAGAGACAGTCTAAATAATTAATGTTTTGAATTAATTTTATTTTTCAACTTGGTTTAGAGACAGTCTAAATAATTAATTTTTTGAAAGTATCTGCTGCAGCTATTCATAATGTGTATTTTAAACTACCCATTGTGCACGAGTGGAAGATTTGAAGGCCCAAGAGGGTGAATTTGTCCTTTGCCTTATGTTTATATGAGATTGGCAGTGTTAAGGGAAGAAAAAGCTGCATTTTCTCCATCATCTTTTCCCATTCCACAATGTATTTACCTAGTGAGAGAAGCCTCCCCAAATATTCTCTTGTTGTGGCCTTCATTTTGGGATACATGTTATTGATTTTTAGGTAACCTCTAAAATATTGTTACACTCTTTTTGAAAACGCATTAATAGGGATGTATAACTTCTACAAAGTGGGCTGGGCAAATTCCAATGATAGCACTTTACTAGTAATTTCTAGGGAAGATAATGGTTCTATCTTTTTATTTAAAAAACTATAAAACTAGGGGGAAAAGGGTCCAGAGGTGTTCTGGCTTATCTGTAATAATCCCATCACTATAACAGTAGAGTGGATTTGCTTTAGAGAACCAATAGCATAAATATAAATGTCTTTAATTTATAGACCCAGGGACTTTACCAAAGGTTATGTTTTCTACCAACTGTCTGCTATCATTATTATTTTTAAATGGAAAATTTTATTTATGCTTCATTTATATTTAGTGTGGTTTTGGTACTAAGTGTACATTAGACTTTGATGAATTAGTGGCTTTGTGTGGCTGGGTGGTAATAATAATCCATTAAAGTGAGCACTCTGTTTTTCAGCCATGCTGGATAACTGAGAAAGCAACTTTTAAAGTTGTTTCTTTTAAAAGTTACTTGTCACAATAGGTTCCTTAGAAAAACTCAAGGTGAATTTCTTTTAAAAAAAGGCTCTTTTAGGAATATCAATCTGATTTATATACTAATATGAAAGAGTTGATTTTTAGATTATTTTCTTAAAAATTTTTGAATGTTATATCTTCTCTACTGTGCGTTTACAAATAACTATTAATTGGATACATGATATATGTTGTTTATTTTTGTAGTTAAAACAGAGCCAATGAGCAGCAGTGAAATAGTTTCAACAACAGCAGACGGGTCTTTAGACAATTTCTCAGGTTCAGGTAAGGAATAAATATTAGATTTTCACATTAATATGAAACATTATTTTTTGTGGTTTATATATATACAAATATATGTGTGTAGATGCATATGTATGTGTATATTCTCTATGTAATACCATATAGTTTTTCTCAGAGTCACATATTTGCAATTCTGATGTTTTTATTTAGTGTGATGCTGAAGATTTTTGAGAAAAAAAAATCAAAATGGGTGCTGTTCTCGAAATTATCTTTATTATGTTAATGACTCCTTTTGTCTCTCATCTGTGTGATTTTTCTTTTTCTTTTAAAAACTATTTATAAAAAATAAGAACGATTTATTTATTTGCCTGTGCTGGGTCTTAGTTGTGGCACACAGGGTCTTTGGTCTTTGTTGTGTGGCATGTGGGATCTTTAGCTGAAGCATGCAAACTCTTAGTTGCAGCATGTGGACTCTAGTTCCCTGAAAGTGAAAGTCGCTCAGTCGTGCCTGACTCTTTGTGACCCCGTGGACTATACAGTCCATGGAATTTTCTAGGTCAGAATACTGGAGTGGGTAGCCTTTCCCTTCTCCAGGGGCTCTTCCCAACCCAGGGATCGAACCCAGGTCTTCTGCATTGCAGGTGGGTTCTGCACCAGCTGAGCCACAAGGGAACCTGGCCAGGGATGAAACCGGGGCCGCCTGTACTGGGAGCATGGATCTTTGCTGTTGGCCCACCGGGAAGTCCCTGTGTGATTCTTCTAGTCAAGCAAAATATGGCTTCTGATACCCACTAAACTGACTTGCCAAGTCATCCTCCTAAGTAACTGTCATATCCACTAGAGATTAGACTTTGTAAAGCAGCTTTAGATCGTTAAGTTGGCCTTTCATCTCTTTCACATCGATAAAGTCTGCCTCCAACAAACAAAATATCTGTGTTTCTCCTCCGTTACAATGAAATTCCTGATTTTAAAAAAAAGTGACTGTGATAATAAATTCACTGTGAGAATTTGAGTTTATCTTTGTCAAATTACCCAGCTTGGACTCTTTCCATTAAGAAATCATTTTTATCAGAAGTAATTCTTCAGTGTTTAACCCTCTTCGAGTTGTCTGCTGTGTTTAAAAAGCTCTCCATTGGAAATGCTCTACTTTTGTAAATTTGTGAGTGAGTTCATCCAGCTGTCAGGATCATTTCACATATAACACAACTAAAACACGTTATGTAGATATAAAACAAAATGCAGATGCACAACGTTTATGCTAATGGTACCAGCTAGAGGCAATAGGAAATAAAATGTTAGACCTGTAGTTCTTTGTGAAGCATTTACTGGAATTTGACTCATGTCAAGCAGTGTGCTTCATGCTATTATGGCTTCAAAGGTGTGTGAAAATGGTCCTGGCTTGTGGCTTAATAGGGCAACCTAATCACCAGGCCATCACAGTTCAACTCGGTGATGCCAGTAGGAAGCCTGGGAACCCCTAAGAACACCCGGGAAGAAACCGAGTTGGAGTGGGCTGGTCAGGGAAGATTTTCTGGAGGTGTCTAGAAAACACCTTTAAGAATGAGTAGCAATAAAGCACACACAGAAGTGAGGAGGAGGAAGCTGGACGGATGGCGCATTCCGTGGGAGGAGACCAAGGCAAAGAGGCTTGGAACTTGGAGGAGCCACTGATGGATCAGCCTCCTTGGTGTGTCTGTTGTGAGTGGTGGGGGGTGTGCTGCATGGGGAGACAGGGGCCAGAATCGACACAGGCAGGGGTGTTCCATATGGTGTGTGTGTTTTATCCTGAGTGCCGTGGGTGGCCCCAGAGGAAGAACGTTGCGTGATCATATTCCCTTATGGAGTGACTTGGGCAGAATGGAAGGAAGGCTGGGGAGCAGGAGGGTAGAGAACAGTTAGTTGTTTGTTTGTTTTTTTTTTCTTTCATCTGGGCAAGAAATAGTGAAGACATGAAATAGGGTGCTGGCAATATTCATTGGAAGGATTAATGCTAAAGCTCCAGTACTTTGGCCATCTGATGCAAAGAACTGACTCTTTAGAACAGACCCTGACTCATTAGAAAAGACTCCATTAGAAAAGACCCTGATGCTGGGAAAGATTGAAGGCAGGAGAAGGAGGAGACGACAGAGGATGAGATGGTTGGATGGTATCACCGACTCGATGGACTCAAGTTTGAGCAAGTTCTGGGAGATGGTGGTGAACAAACCACCGACTCATTCATTCTGCCTTTTTCATAATTTTTTTGCACAGCATATGTATAGAAGTCATACTTTTAAAAAGGCATCATTTTAAAGTGCAAGTTAAGAATCACATACTGCAAAGACATGATTGCCACATCTTCTCAAAGTATCTATGAATAATCCCAAAGTATTTATGAATCCCAAAGTATCTATGAATAATGGTATTGCATTGCATCAGTGTTTTCCTGATTTTTATCACAGTCCTGTGGTGAAGAAATTTCTTGTTTTTAAGAAATATGCACTAAATATTTATGTGTAAAGAGGTATCATATCCACAGCTCCAAAAAATGTGAGCTATACAGGTGCATACATGCACACACACATATATAGAGAGAGAATAAAAGCTAATCTCAGAAAATGTTACCATTTGGGAAGTTTGGGTGAAAGATATCTGGGAAGTTTTTCTACTATTCTTGCAACTTTTCTGCAGTTGTCAAATTATTTCAAAATAGGAAAGTTAAAAAATGAGAAGAATGGATGGATTTAGCAGTTTTAGTGGACAAAGTGGACAAGCGAGCTTCATTTCCCCTTGTGTCCACTGGCCCATATGTCCTGCCTCTGTGTCTTAAGCATAGTTCCCAGCAGGTAGTATGTTCTCATAAAGTTTATTGAATGAATGAATAACGTAATGAATGAGAAAGTGGAGACAGGGAAGAGAAAAATGTCTTTCACATCCATAGGTAGTAAAAGAAGAGAGATGATGGTCCATTAGAAAGAGGGTTGAAGGGTTGATGATGACATTTAGAAGGTCGGGGTGGTCTGGGATGTCATATAAAGGCAGGTGTGAAAGGTAGAGGCAATCTTGATGAGATAGCAATGGCTTACATTCAAAACAAGAGTGAATCAGCCTGGAAAAAGAATAGCTTTTCCACAGAAACCTCAAGAAAGATGAATGGGAAGTAACGCAGATGAGTTTGAAGAGAAGAAGTAGGAGGCAAGGTAGGGAATTCCTGCCTGATTCCTCTGTTCAAACCCTCCAGCAGTTCCCAATACTTACAGTGAGCTTGCGTGCCCAGCAGATCCTATTGCCTGCCTCCCTTGCCTCCTGCTCTTCCTCTAATCAGGGTTTCTGCAAGGGCAGTCCTGCTGCCGGGTACCTACTTAGATACCTGCCTGACTCCATCACCTTCACATCCCACCTTTTTGATGATACCCACTCTGACCACCCTACTCAGTGTTACAAAACTCTCAGTCTAGATTTCTGATCTCTCTAAATGCTGAATCTCCTGTCCACCAAACGACATACAGAACCGTTTACAAGCTATAGCATGCAGTTGTGTACTAGGTTTATTGTTGGTCTCTCACCCCCATCAGAATGTAAGCTCGAGATGGCAGGGATTCAGTCTTCTTTTATTCATTTGTATCCCTGACATCTGAAAAAATACCTGGCATTTGTTAGGTAGTCAGATTGGAGTTCCCTGGTGGTCAGACAGTAAAGAATCTGCCTGCAGTGAAGGAGACCTGGGTTCAGTCCCTGGGTTGGGAAGATGTCCTGGGGAAGGGAATGGCCACCCACTCCAGTATTCTTGCCTGGGAAATCTCATGGATTTCCCCGGTGGGCTACAGATCATGGGGTCACAAAAGAGTCGACATAACTGAGCGACTAACACTTTCACAACACAGGCACTCAGATATTTACTATATAAATTTTGGGTACATGAATGAATGATGGCTTCTGCTTTTTTCTCTGAAGTGACTCAATATGAGAAGAGAACTGAGGGCAGCAGTAAAAGACCAATTTCAAATAACTATTTGCCTAACTAGAATAGGTAGAAAAGACTGAAGGAAGGGGATAATAAACTGAGAGAAGAGAACATGTCAGGGGTCCTGCCTCTCTTGGATGATGGCTTGGAGAACAGATAAGATGGGAATAAGGAATAAAAATCCTGTGAAAAGAGGATGTTTCTTCTTTAATCTCAAAACTCAGGTCCCCACTTCATGCTTTTGGCGTTGGTTCTTTGTACTTCCCTTCCTCAGCCTTTATCAGCCCTTTAAAAATTATCTTGCATTGTCTTTCCTCCACCAGGCGTCCCTGGTGGCTCAGATGGTAAAGAATCTGCTTGCAATGTAGGATACCTGGGTTCAATCCCTGGGTTGGTTGGGAAGATCCCCTGTAGAAGGAAATGGCTACCCACTCCAGTATTCTGGGCTGGAGAATTCCACGGATTATACAGCCCATGGGGTCGCAAAGAGTTGGACACAACTGATCAACTTTCACTCACTTCACTTCCTCCTGCTAAACCATGGCCCTATGAGAATCGAGATTCTTTTTGTCTTGTTCACACTTACCATCCCAGTGGCCATCGTGGATTGGAGTCCATGGGAGGTGGTCAGTACATGTTTGTAAATAAACAAATGAATCAGTTGGTGCTGTTGTGGTTTAAGACTGGGATGGAGAAGGAAGTCCCATATGTGGTCTTGAGCGTTCATGGTTGACCAGAGTAGAAGACCAGAGTTGAGGTCAAGACTCAATGAGAAAGCACTGGATGCACGACCCAAGATGATGTTGGGATATGTCGGGATGCAGTCAAATACTAAAGTTTTTGATAAACTCGAGGCAGTTCTTAGGTGATGGGTCATTCATGGAAGTATTAAAGAGTTGTCATGAACTTCAGAGAAGGGAGGATTTCCTGGGACAGCAGAAAAACAATGGTTTGGGAGAAACAACAAGGAGGATGTATTTTCAGGTCTTTATGATTCTGGAATCTGGGAGAAGGAGCAGCCTCTACTGGGAAAAGATATGCAAAAAATGTTAGGGCCTTAAAGGCGGGCTTAGTGGAAGGGGGAGAGATTGTTTGGTGA